TCAAATCTTGATACTAGCTCCACGAGTAGAGAGATCCCTGTGGACCCCCTAGAGGTCCCAGTAAGTAGGGTAAAAAGGACGGATTGTTGATCCTGTGCATGAAATTGAAATATAATTTGTTTAATTGTCTTCATATGTTGATTTTGGAAAAAAAACCTTAACAGTAAATATCAAATAAAAAGTTTTAAAGTTAAATGTATTTACTTAAAGTAAAGGCTCCATTAGTTGTTTTCTAATTTTTACCAATATTCGATTTTTCGTATAAGTGATTAGTGTGTTATTTTTATTGAAGTAGTGTACATCATTCTTTCATTAACCATTTCAGATCAAGAGAACCAAGATCCAGATTCCGATCAGCAAGAAGGTTGTGACTAGTTAATATCCTGAACTCCTTTCAAGTGTTAGTGAATGTTGTCATAAATACTTATTTATTCTTTTTTCATTAATTATTATTTATCTTTTATGAACTACGTAGAAGAGATATTCTTATAGTCTTATTGGACAATTCAATTTATTGTGTAAGAAATGTAAACCTTAACATTATTATTCGCTGTCACATTTAAATTATAAATTTATTTTCTTTTAAATTCTAGATCTTTACAAACATACATAAAATACCAAGTATTTAAGAAAAGTTTTATTGATAATTTGATATATTAAAAATGAGAAATTTTTTAAGAAATGTAAAATTATAAATATATTTCATATAATTTTGATATATTTATTTATTTCTCGTATGCCAATCTTTATTGCCAAGCAAATTGCTTTTATAATATTTTTTCCCTTCACTGATTGGGTAAAAAAGAGATATTCGTGATAAGGTTGAGAAAATCAAATTTTAATTTTTTTTTGTTTTTTTTTATTATAAAAAAGCAGTATTTTTTTAATCGTCAATTAATTTCCTATTCCACTTTATTTGCAAATGGAACAAAATGTTATTAGGAAAAAAAAAAGGCTTAACTAAATTATAAGAAAATCAATTTAATTAACTAATTAATCAAATCACCTTAATTTTATTATTAAAATTTTATTTAATATAAGATAATCTGCGAATAATGTAAACGCATGATCTATCAAATATTTTATTGACTAAGCTCACATCCACTTGCTTAATTAAATTAAAAAAATCAACTTATTTTTTATAATTACCCTAATTATCATAAAAATACATACTGATTTCGTTAATTAATTAAATTATCTTAGTTTTATTATTAAAATTTTATTTAATATGAACTTTATGCAAATAATACAAAATAGTTGACTAGGCTGACATTCACCAACTTAATTAAATTATAAAAAATCAATTTTTTTTTTTTGTAATTATGCTAATTCACATTAAAAACACATTGATTTAAATAATTAATCAAATAATCTTAATTTTATTATTGAAATTTTATTTAATACGCAATTAAATGACTTGACTAGGCTAACATCCACGTGTTCACTCTTCGGCTTTCTCTTTCACCGTCATGCCGTTTCTTCTAAAACTTAAAGACAAAAGGCATTGAAAAACAAAGGAAAAAGAAAAAGAAAAAGCATTTACTAGGCACGGTCTCTCTCTCTCTCTCTCTCTCTCTCTCTCTCTCTCTCTATAAATACACACATGGCCAGTCTCTGGATACGTACTACAAAGCTAGTCTTCCCTCACTTCCTCGTCCCTTCTCCTGTTTCTTCAACATTTCAGACCCTCCGCAAGTAAAGAAAACAGAAGCAAAGAGCATCGGAGAAAATGTCGGATAATGAAAATCAAGTTCCTGAGATGATCAACGGTGACTCCCACGACATACGCTCCCTTCTTTCTTCTCCGGAGAGGGACTTTCTTGTTCGTAACAACGGTCAACAGGTGATTGACTTCGTTGCTTGGGTCTGAGACTGGGAAGTTTTCTTTTCTTCTTTCTTTAGTTCTTTAGTAGCTCTAGTTTCTGTGATCCATGAATTTTCTTTGCTCAATATGTGATGTTGTACAAAGCATGTAGGCTCTACAGGATTGATTATCAGGGGAAGTTCACGTGATCACAATTATCATTTCTGAATTTAATTGAGAGTGGCTGCAAAATAGGATTGATGTATTTGTGGCATGGGAGGATGTTAAAACCATTTCTAGAGATTTTTCTTGTCATTTGGTAAATACCTGTCTGCTTAACTGTAACTTAGCAGGAATTGCAGGTAAGCTCTAGTGTTAGGGATTTTCATAGTGGACGATAAGTGGATTTAGTTTGATATATGGAGGGTATAATTGTGATTATCTAGGTTATCTTTAGAACAAATAAACTTGGTGTGGAATTTATTTGGATATTTTAATTTATTTTGACTGAGAAGGGGTGAGGGATCTTTAGCCTTTCATGGTGAAAATAAGTATAAGTTGCCAAAAGAATTTTACAAACAAAATTAATTTGTCCCTAAAAGCGTTAACTTGCGTAAAATTCATTTTTGTGTAGGTGAACTGTAAACTGTATTCAGTGAACTCGGTTAGATGATTTTTTGGGAATGGAATGAGTTCTATTAATTGACTCAAAAGTGTTTATGGTTGGCCACATGTCTCTTGTTAGAGGTATGAATGGAACGGAAATCACATACTAAATTCCTAATTTTACAGGTTAAAATCGATAGCCTGAAGGGGAAGAAACTTGGATTATACTTTTCTGCACATTGGTGTGGCCCATGTCAGCGTTTCACCCCTCGATTGGTTGAGGTGTATGATGAACTCTTCCCAAAAGGTGATCTTGAGGTTGTTTTTATCTCTGCTGATGAAGATGATCATTCATTCAATGAATACTTTTCTGTAATGCCCTGGCTTGCTATCCCATTTAGTGATTCAGACACACGTAACCGCTTGGATGAATTGTTCAAAGTGAGGGGAATTCCCCACCTTGTAATCCTTGATGAAAATGGGAAAGTTGTGAGTGATGATGGGGTGGGAATCGTTCGAGAGTATGGAGTGGAAGGGTTCCCTTTCACCCTGGAAAGAGTGAAAGAATTAAAAGAGGAAGAAGAAAAAGCCAAAAGAGAGCAATCTTTGCGGTCTCTCCTAGTATCACATTCACGGGACTTTGTAATTTCACCTGATGGAAGCAAGGTATTTGTTAGCTATGTTTCTAGTGATTTAAAGTTACAAGTAAAAATTTTGACTTTCATATTTATTGTTCGTTCCATAATCTGACTTCTGCTATTGATGTGGATATATTCAAGATGGCTGTATCCGAACTTGAAGGGAAGACGGTTGGTCTGTATTTCTCAGTGTCTTCGTACAGACCATGTATTGATTTTACCGCAGAACTTGTGGAGGTTTATAAGAAACTAAAAGAAGAAGGAGAGAGCTTTGAGATTGTGTTAATATCTCTGGATGATGAGGAAGAATCATTCAAACAAGCTTTTGAAATCATGCCTTGGTTTTCCTTGCCCTTCAAGGACAAATTATGCGATAAGTTAATTCGGTATTTTGAGCTCTCAACCATTCCCACTTTAGTTATTATTGGGCCTGATGGAAAGACTGTTCATTCCAATGTTGCTGAGGTGATTGAAGAGCATGGAGCTATTGCATACCCTTTTACCCCAGAAAAGTTTGCAGAGCTTTCAGAGATAGAGAAAGCAAAGCAGGCAGCTCAAACACTAGAGTCGGTTTTGGTTTCAGGTGATCGAGACTATGTCATTGATAAAGAAGGGACTAAGGTAAAATTCTCTTTCCTGTTTTTTAATGCTACCAAGTATTTGGTAGCCTAATAGCCCAAATGTGCACTCTCTTATTCAATTAATTTGGCATTGATTGTTCTATTTATATATTTTCAGATTCCTGTGTCTGCTTTGGTGGGAAAGAACATTCTATTGTACTTCTCAGCCCATTGGTGCCCTCCATGCCGTGCTTTTTTGCCAAAACTCATTGAAGCATACCACAAAATTAAGGAGAAAGATGAAGCATTTGAAGTAATTTTTATCTCTAGCGATAGAGATCAATCCTCATTCGACGAGTTCTTTAGAGGCATGCCTTGGCTGGCACTTCCCTTTGGTGATGCAAGGAAGGCATCCTTGGGTCGTACATTCAAGGTTGTCGGTATCCCTATGCTTGTGGCCCTTGGACGAACTGGTCGAACTGTTACCAAAGAAGCTAGAGATCTAATTATGATGCATGGGGCTGATGCTTATCCGTTCACTGAGGAACAACTGAAGGAGATTGAGGCACAGTATGAGGAAATGGCAAAGGGGTGGCCTGAGAAGGTAAAGCATGCTCTCCATGATGAGCACGAACTTTTGCTGACTCGCCGCAGGATCTATACGTGTGATGGATGTGGGGAAACGGGTCATGTATGGTCATTCAACTGTGACGAGTGTGACTTTGATCTTCATCCCAAGTGTGCGCTGGAGGAAGATAAAGGAAGCAAAGATGAGACAGAGCAGGAGGGTAATACCAAAGAAGGTTGGATATGTGATGGAGAGGTCTGCACGAGAGCTTGAGAAACATCTGTTTCTAAGACTTCAGCTTGAGATACTCCGTTTGGTTATTGGTTCTGGTTTTGCCTTGTACCTTTGGTGTGTTGGTTATGTAATAACATTTCCATGTCTGGAAAACTTGTGTTGGTAAGGTATGCTTAATGGCGTATAAATTATATTTTGATTCAACCACTGAATTATTACGTGAATAATGTGGATTAATC